TATACCGAATAGTGGGTTGGGTTTACGATATATTTAATATTTTTTGCCGCTCCATCACACAAAAAGATAACAGAATTCGGGCCTTCATGAAGAATGATATATTATAGGTAGCATCAAATAAGTTTTCCATTTCATCGGTCCATGATTCTGGATGTGATGTCAAACAATGACAACTTAATTTCCTCTAGAGATACACTGATGTATAGACAGACTGAAAAGAACGATGAGAGGGAAGTCCCCATTCAATTTACTGGCATTCCATGTTATCACTCACATTTTCTTAGAGCTTTTCTTTACTCAAATAATAATAAACATTGGAGCATGCAATAAGGTTTGCTCAATAAATATCGGGACTATATCTCTCATCTAATCTAATTCTACGTACATCTAAATCTACATTTTCCCTCTTTTTACACTAGCCCTTCATATTTGAGAACGTGTTTTAGCATTCTATTCTATATTGAGTTCCATAGCGCCAATACAGTAGGTAGAACTTCTATAACTCGAACATCAAGAGAGACTCCAAAAAATTCGAGTTATAGAGTTTTCGACTTATGGAAGATTTTGATTCGAATGTAGAGGTTAAGACTTGGTATACTTATATTGTCTGCAAATCTTTACAGTCGATTACTTAGTTTTTTTCGAACTATAGACGTAATAAGTGCCAAATTATCGAGTTCTAAAAGTTTTAAAATAAAACATTGCTATGTTCGAGATACAGAGGTTCAATTTACTGTTTCGATTTATAGAGGGAAAATATGTACTAAAATGGCTTTCAGGGACTTACTGATTATTTCGACTAATAGAGGGTTGGGATTTCAAGTAATGGAGGTTTTGGGGCTTGAAGAGAAGGCAACAAAACATGTTTTCGAATTTTGGAGGTTTTAGACTTATCGAGGTTCGACTTAAAGAGGTTCTACTGTACTTCTTTATTTCTAACCTTTTCTATTTTCAACGCTTCTAGTGTTTAGGGTTCCGTACCTCTAAAAGAAAAAAGGAACCCTCATAGGATTACTTAGTTGTCCATACGGCTGTCTGTCTGTCTTTCTGCCTTCTACTTACTATTAGAAACATGTCAAAGGTACAAAATTCACACCAAGACCAGTGGACCTTATAAAAAAAGGGCTTAATGAGTTGGGAGTCGTTTGCCGCAAAGCCATTAATTTCCTCCGCCGCAATGCAATTAATAATTAGTCGATGTCGCTCTCTTTTGCTGTTTTCCGGCTGCCTGGAAATACAGTACAAAAACGTGTGTTAGGTAGAACCCCTTCTGTTGTATTTACCTACAGCAAGTATCATTTCTATCCGTTTTCTTTTCATTATTACGGCGACACTAACGACTGCAAATTAATGTAACAAGTAATTTGTGCCCTTTCCCTTCTTCTTTGTGCTACTTTTCGTTAGTTGGATGGTGATCCGTCTCCGGCTGAGCAGCTAGTGTTTAGCTGTTTCTGATCTCAGGAAATGCTCAAAGTTTTTATTAAAAGTTTATTAATATTACCATGTAATAAAGCACCTTTTGCATTCGTAACTAATTTGTATTATTTTGTATTGTCTCGTAATTAGAATGCTCTTTTTCTGATGACAGTGTTGTACTTTAGTGTATCTGTTACCAGAAATGTAGGAAATTCTTAGGAAATGTATACAACTCGGAAATGTGTAAAATATTGTTTCAAAGATTTTTTAATATACACATACCCTAGACAAAAATTTTCAGTCTCTCTCCAGTCTCTCAGAGTCTTTCAGAGTCTTTTAGCGTCTCTTTCACAGAGTCTCAGTTATTGCCTGGGCGTTTTTATGGATCTCTCACAGTCTCTGTATGAGAGACTCGAACGATAAAATTGTTATTTCAGAGATTCGAGTATCTCACAGAGAGACTGATTACATAAAAGTGAAAAATTGAGAGACTCGAGTCTCTCGTAGAAAGACTGGGACCTCTGAAATATGTTGAACTTAGAAACTTTTAACCGTCTATCGAGACACCACTTATTGAGAGATTCAAGTCTCTCGTTCAGAGATTCGAGTCTCTCGTTCAGAGACTGGATATGAAATGAGGATCTCTCTAGGAGCGAATCGAGTCTCTCGTTCAGAGACGCTAAACAGTTTTTTTGACAGACTCTCGACAGTCTCTCTCAGCGACACCAGAGAGACTCTGAGAGACTGAACATGTTTAGCTCGGGTATCCTGTGAAATGTATACATTTAACATATCAGTGCGCCTCCGGGGGTTAGGGGCATTTAAGAAACCCCAGTCTGTCATAAATCTCCCTAACTAAACAATAACGTCAATAATGGATATAGGTACATCTCCAAACAGCCTGCCGTATTATTACCTGTATACATGTTCGATTGCTATTTAAGAAATGTATATANACGATTTTCCTGCTTTTCCATTTTTACGAAAACCACAGAGGCGTCTTGTTCAGCGTGCTGTCAAACCTACACTAGCAAGGAGATCGGGCTGAAACTATAGCTACAAGCTATCCAAGGATGGTACTATAGAATGTCACCTCAAGGTAGGCCTAGTGGCGTCATCTCTTGGTTAGGCCGGAAACTTATCAATCCACCCTCGTATTTAAGAAATGTATATATTCCCTAGGAATTGCGTCTAGTACAATTTATTTCATACTTTTCCGGGCAATTTTAGGAATCATATACATTTCCTAGGAATTGTATACAATGACGGATTTCATACATTTCTGGTAAGATATCTAGAAAAAAAACTAGACATGGGAGTAACAGCTACATGGCATTATCTTTCAATTACATTTCCTTTAAGAAATTATAGGTATCAAAAATTGATAGCTTATATGAAGGACCGCAGGATTGGATTAACATTCAAAAAATATGTGGGCAAATATATTCGAAGCGCTCGCTTCTCATTTCATGACGAGCAGCCGCTGGTCTCAGTATTTCAACCCTTTTTTTGTAGCTTTTGAAATACACCTTTCTTTGATCTTGCATGAATGTGGAATGTATACACAACGTGTTAAAAAATGTCACCTATAGGGACACCCACACATTCATTGGAGGTAAATAAAAAAATAAAATAAAAAGGAGAAAAGGATTCTCTCTGTGGTGGCATAAAAATGATCTTGTATGCATCTGATTCTTTTGAGTACCACGCCACACCACAGTTTTTTTTTTAACTTTGAATTATGTTGTTTAAATGGTTTTAAAAAGTTTCTAATTGGAAAAAGTTTTCCGCCCTTGTTTTTCTCATATGTAGTTAAAGTTACATTAAAGTTCTTATCGGGGAATACTTTGGGTTTTTCAAAATTTTATCCAATTATTATCTTTGATTTATTTATTTGTTTATAAAGTTTACCTTACTGTTCTAAAGGTATTAACAGATTAATGTGGATATCTACATTAATTACACTGGAATTAAAGTCAGCGATTGTTTAGAATTTTTGCCAAAAGTGATACCAATTTCTATATACAATATAGGATACAATTCCATCACTAGAGGATGAACATCTCGGTACATGACGTTATTATGAGGGACGTACTTAGGACGTTAAGTTACTACACGGAGGTGCAATTGCATGTATCTTTTGTCTCATAATACCCTAAGTAGGTACGGCCCTTATATGTGTCAACAACGTTGACTCCCTTAGTCACGTAGTTTCTGTGACATTACAGTAAAAGTTCCTTATTCGCGGTTTTCATTATTCGCGGGTGAAAAAATTGCAACACAGTTCCTGTATTCGATGTTAAAAATTTCATTATTCGCGGCTTCAATCGGTAAACAGAAAAGAAATCGGTGTCATTTATTAAGGGGATTGACCGCAATAGACCGCTTGTGCCTAGTGTGAATTTTTCCGAAAACATGGGTTTCTATTCTAAACAGTGTAATTTAACGCTGCGAGAAAATATCTAATTTTTTTGTATGGTAACAGACAAAGGTCTACACTAACTCGGTACGCTTTTGGTTTCCAACAATACGGTCATTAAAAGCTTTTACAAGTGCTTAAAGTTGATGTTTCTTGTAGGACACGTATTTTCAAAAGAAATAAAAAAAATAAGAAATGCCCTTCGACAAGCTTTAGAACAAAGCTGTATCTATCTTACGACAAAATTTCAAACCTCTGATTTAAATTTTAAACTCATGATATCTAGAACCGATAAGAATGGCGCGTGTACCACTGAATCCCCTTAGTGTATCGGCATCTTTTGAATAGATAAGGATTCGATGTTATTTTTTAACGTGTCAGCATCTTTTAAGTACTATTGGCTCGTGCCGAGGCGACTTTTATAAAAAACGTTACCGAGTGGACGAATTTCAAAATTCAAAACAAGAAAAAGTCACTAAATTCTTAAACTCTAAACTTCTAAACTCTTACCTAAAGCTGATTATAACGATAAATTTTATTTGCGAATTTATCAATACATTGATTTTATTTTGATACATATTGGTTTTATTTTGGAACCTTAGAACCTATCCCCTATGATTCCATACTAATTACCATTCCATATCCGCGCTGTCTGTATTCGTGGCATATTTTTATGGAACGTACACCCCGCGAATAAAGAGCTTTTACTGTATTTTGATTTAATTTGCTCCTTTAATTTTTATTTTCGTGGTCATTTTCCCTAAATTTTGTCCATTGTTTTTTGGCAAAATATTTGATTACATTTTTATTCGAACATCAAACGACTCGATCTGAGTAGTGGGGGAGCCCTACACGTATCTATGAGTGTTCTCCCCCTCCACTCACCCATCAAAATTCCTCTCTTGCTCGATGTAAGCCACTTGTACGTTACGCTGTACAAAGCGAGTGCTTGCTATTATATTATTTCGTAACGAGGGCACTTCTAGAAATACGAAACGAGAATTGAAACGAAAAACTGGAACGCAGACACAGATAGACGGTGGACGTGTTCGTACCTATAGACATATGTACATACACACACAGAGACAAACATACGTACAGACATGTTGTCGTCTTTTTAACTGCGGAGTGCAACCTCTATAACCAACACCCCCTTTTGTTTCAGGTGCACGAGTGTCGCCGTACTCTGAGAGGAAACAACAACGGGGTAACGGAAAAATTCAAGCATTTCCCACTTCAATACATATCGGGGGTGAGAAAGCACTTGCGAAAGTAGGCCAGATTTCCGCCGGCTGCCAAAGTGTCTCGTTTATTCGAACGTGAAGGAAAAAAAAGTCGATTATAAAGTTCCGGGATTCAGAAAAAGGACGAAAGGGCGAGTACGTAGTATCCGGTTGGGGAGGGGGTTAGGTACCGAGGATCTGTAGGACAGCACCGGACTGTTAGCGCATCGTACTCTGTTTTATTTTTTTTGCGAACGGAACTGGACGTCAGTAGTTCGACCTTAATTAGTTTAGATTTTATCTGAGAGTGGAATTTCCGTTTTAATTATAAGCAGCGAGGGGTATTGTGTGTGCTCCTTTGAATCTTGCAACATATTGATTTTTTTTTAATTCTATGTTCAATCAAGTAAAGCAAAAATAGTGGTATGCAAGGGAAGAAAAAGTAGGGAAAGAGCTAATATAAAGATAGGAGATGAAAAATTGAAAGAATCGGCTGATTTTAGGTTATAGGTTAGGTTAGGTTAAGTAGATAAGCCTTCAATAAAAAGAATTCACTTCTATGCTCGCGAACGGTTAATTTAGAAATTCGAAAAAGATTGTTTAAGGTGTAGAAGCTTTCGAAATGTAGTGATACAGGCGAATAATGTAAGTCAATAAGAAATAGGCGGGATAGGTTGGTAGGACACCTTCTCAGGCATGAAGGTCTAGTCAGAGACATATTAGAGGCAGAAACAGGAGTTAGGAGTGGTAGAGGTAGACCTAGATTAGATCACTGTTCGCAAATAGTTAAGGATGTGGATTGTTCTAGTTTTAGGGAAATGCGAAGATTAGCTCAGGATAGGAAAGAGTGGAGGTGCGTGTCCAACTAGTCTTAGGACTGATGATTTAATCTTTATATTAAAGATTATTTTCACATAAATGCAATCACTTGACAAAAGTCTAATAGTCTATACCGAGTTAGCATTGAAGAATGACGAAAGTATTTTTTAAAATTTCTTACAATATCTACACTTTTTATTATTCGTAGACTAGGAAACTGTAAAAGAAATACCTACCCTGAAAATTATATGCGAGGGTTAAAAAGTGGGTTAATTGATCTGCATTTCAAAACTTTCATTTGAAGTTTTTTTATCAGACACTGTCGTCTAAGCGATGAACAAATTCTAATAGAGTTATTAGGTAAATTGAGTTTTAAATTACACAAGCCTTTATCATCGATCTTTTTAAATTAGAAGCACTTTTTATAACTACTTTTTGTTAATCGAAAAAGAACTTGAATCCTGTCGTAAATCATATTCCAATTTTTCTTGTAAAAATTCGTTTAAGCTCGTACTGAATGGTTATTTCTTGAGAATTAGGAAGGGATGAAAAATAGATTTTTTAGTAACATAGTCTTTTAAAATAGGAATTATTGATTTTAGGAGATGCTTTTTTGTGTATCGATTTCTTTTAGTCATTTTCTAAATTATCACAAATTTTTCGAAAACATAAAATAACTAGTTTTACAGTTAGTGGTTTGAAATGGTTATAAGACTACGGCAATTAATATTGTATTTGGAGCTTTGCCTATGAGGGATGGTAGAAGAAGCCCCGAAGGGTTGGAGGAGTTCTCAAATATCATAACCTAAGCCAGAGCCGGGCAAACTTTAACTTCGCAGGAGCCGCTACATGAGGTTAGTTTGAGTCACTCCATACCCTTCAATGAGTACAAGAGAGTAAGCAGCAATGAATAATTTTGTTTTGTCTTTTTCTTCTCCCTTCCACTCCCATATCAAGCCCCTTCATCCCGTAGACGAGCGAAGCCACTCGCGCAACTTAAATAATACCTACGAAAATTTTCGTTACTACGTTGGCAAAACTATTGGGTTTGGCTATGGAAGAGGGGACTCACCTACGAAATGGAAGGGATAAGAAAAGGAAAGAATCATCTCACTCGCACTCGCAGGATCAATGAGGAGCTACTTGGTTAACCTTGAGGAGCACTCGGGAGGCAAAAGAGCCGAGTTTGCTCGGCTCTGACCTAAGTTGCCCAGCCTAACCTAGCATAACAAACATTAACATAACCTGAGTTAAGTTATGGTGTGTAAAAGGTCCTCTCTCGAGACAATTTTCATAGCCCCTCCGAAGGACAAGGTTCCAAACACAGTATTTGTTCCCGTAGTTTATTTATTTACAAAAGAGGTTGTTTACAACACCTTCCTTCCGATGTTTTCTTGTACGTTTATTATAATTGGGCCAATTTTAGGCCATGTCCAAGATGAATAAGTTGTTTTCGAAAAAGTCATTCATCCTAATAATCGGACGGTAACAAATATTATTTACATTTGTTAAGTTTATTGTGCGGTTCGATGTTTTTTTTTCTGACGTAAGAAAATGCATATTGTTTTTCTCCTTTTTCATTTTTATTTCGTTGTTTTTGCATTTGCGGTTGGTAAATTCGTTTATATCAACTGTGAATTATTATGATGCAGAGACGTCTCCTCGTAAATTATAATCTTTCTGTTAAATCGGGCGCATCTCTTCGTGAAATTTATAGCCCAGGTATTATAGGTATCTCGTATTTTCATTACAGCTGCACATAGAGCCGTCGCAAAAGTACGCGAAAAGATTTATTATTGTCTCTGAGAACTCGTGATATTGTAACTGACATTGTGCGATAGAATAGACAATAGTGGAGTGCGCGAGTGTAGAACCCATGGAACTGGACACTTACAACGAATCCATGAAATCATCTGAGGACGACATATCGCGCGAGAAAATGTCTGGTACAACGTCTGCCAATCACAACAACCATTTTCAAAGTAAGTTTTTATTTTTTTTCTTTCGTATCGATTTTTTTATGTTTGGTTGTTCTTTCAAAAGAATGTGCCCTCCTAACACTTTTTATTATAATAAATGTTAGAGAAGGTGGCAAATAATTTGCTTACCTTTCTTGATATTTTCAAATGTCCCGCTGGTCATCGATACCGTCGTATTTTTGATGCACTCGAAAGCGTAGAGGCGCTTGTACAATGAACAATACTGGCACCATAAGAAGAAGGTACGGGAAGCTTCCGGAACTAACCACCAGGAATATTTTATGACCGCATAAATATAAGTAATCGATATCTGCTGGTATATAGTTGATGTAGGAGACTTGGTACAAATTGTCCACGGAACAAGAACATTAAATAGCGATATAAATGTATAGTGATATAAATAATCGAGTCCGTGCTGTTAGCTCCTCGACCTTTCTGCGTGCACTTAGCGGAAGCTTCCCGTAACTTCCAGTTGTTGAGCCAGTTTTGTTGGTAATACGATTTATGACGTGCGCCTTGCGGCTTTCAGGTGCATCAAAAGTACCGCCGGTATCGATCACTTGCGGCATATGCTCGTAACAATATTTTATATTTAAATTTGTCATAAAAACACCAGAAAATGCGTATGCTATGCCACAATCCACGCACATCCATCTTGATTTAAGATGGAGAAAAAATTATAAAAACAGAGGAGTCCATATGTACTGCTCCTAATCTGACCTTCAGCCCCAGTTTCTGTGCTCGCTGCTGGTGGCTTATAACTTATATAATCCATTGCTTTGAGTCTTTCAGTGAATAATATTAAGTGCTTTGCTGTATTCCTTCATTTGTTACGAAAATCGTCTTACTACTTATTACGAAAATTTCCAAATTAATTATTATCTTTAAAATAAATACGTTTTTCATGCCTAATTGAAAATACGACGTCGGAAAACCTTTTGAAGTTGATGTTTCTGGCAGATTAAATAAACTAGTCTCGTACGACGTTCTTCAGTAATGGACTTCGGTAATGAAATAAATTTGCATTTCATTTAGTTAATCGATCACATGTCAAATTTCTTGACAAGGAAATTGCTTCTCCAATATCCAATTTTCAACAGGATTGTAATAACGTGAGCGAAATATTTAAATCGTCAAAAAAGTAAATATTGGTTTAAAGTCCGTAGCAGGCCAGATTTGCCTATTTCTGTACATAACAACGGCAATTTAGAAGTTGACCAGCAGTTTCTGACATATTTGGGGAAGTTGTGATGAGTTTATTTCAGAGTTCGGCGAAGTTCTGAAAAACAGATAATTATCAGAACCTAAAGCATCTGGTACCTACCTACAGCAAAAATAAATTACTAATTATTTACAAATAAAATTCAATCTTTTAAAAATAAAGGAATTACTTCTTAGTTACTCATACTATAGAAGCTTAAAAGAATCAGCTTACAACGTCAACTTGCTTTTTTAGCTTCCTTGATTAGCAACCATTAACGTTAAATTTTGTGAAATGCGAAGATTAGCTCAGGATAGGAAAGAGTTGAGGTGCGTGTCCAAGTCTTAGGACCGACGGGCTTAAGATGATTATAATAGCAACATTAGCATCTAGCAAGGAAATAGAATTAAATAAAATGGAAGTGGTATTGTCAAAATATTATTATATGAAAATAAATAAAAGTAAGACAAAAATACTTGTATGCAAGAGAAGAAAAAGTAAGGAAAGAAATTAGAAGAAGTGGCTGATTTACGGTAATGTTATGAAGTCAGTTAAGTCAGAACGGAAGGAATAGTAGGGATAAAAAGCAAAGTCTAGTCGCTTTAATAAAAAGAAGTTAGTTTTATGCTCGCAAGGGGTTAATTCGAAAAAAANGACCACTTCGAATTATTTTATTCGATTAAGCTAACGTGCCTATCACGTTGAGGTTGGCTACGCCAGGATTCGTTTTCAGCAAGTAGATATCCACACAAGTGGACCTTGTTGAAAAATACGTAATCCTAAAATGTAGCATCGTGCTACAGATGGCGTTCACTGTGTCGTTTGTAGTATTTTATGTATAATGTTCGTGGGTTTAACAAAAGTAACTTCTAATACTGATAACGACAAAAACTATTTATTTACACCAATTATTGAAGAACTTAAAAACACTATTAAATTATTACTAAACTTAGGTTATGAATTACTCTAATTATTTACACTAGTGTCGTATCACTATTCACTGCGCTATTTATTATTATTCACTTCTGTAACGGTCAATTTATTTCTACTTCTCTCGGCGATCGTCTCCTTCTTTAAATACTCGTTTGTTTACTTTCTGGAACCTTCTGGAAACATCCGGATGGTTTATTTTTTTTTAACTGTTTAAGTGCTCTCCGAGAACGCAGGTACGACACACACATTTACAAATACGGCGCACATGAAGGAAGACGCCCGCGGTTATTCGGCGAATCGATAAGCCGTTCACGCACACGTGAGCCCGATCGCACACAAACACACTCGTACTCGCTACAGTACAAACAGATGTCGGATCTTAAAAAAGTGAATTACCCTTTTTTTTTTTAATTATTACAACTACATTGCAAATTTCACATGTACTGTTACAACTAATGAAGATAGAAGATCAGAAACATTAAAGGTTTCTTTTTTTACATCCAGTACTAAAATGCAGTATTCTGATGATGCTTTTCCAATGCGAAATATTGAAAACTCCCCCAAGTACTTGTTTCTTGCAAGTGAATATTGCATAGACTTAAGATATTATTAATAAAACAATGAAACAATTTTCTTAATTTTAAGATGTTGTGAAACTCGTTTATAATAACTCTCCGTATAATGAATTAGTTTATTTCCAACTTCACCAGATAAGTCAGTTAAGGGCCTGTAATTGGGTCAGTTAAGTAGAATGCTATTCTACAATTTATAAGTGTACATATAAATTGCATTGTAACTGTGTGTGAGATTTTCGCTACAAGACTGAATCGAAATCCGAGAGACATAACATAAAAATACCATTTATTAAAGGTTGAACAGTTTCGGTAGAGAAATTCGCTCGAGTCGGTAGAAACTTGTGATAATGGCGGTGCTTTCTGCAAGACAATTTGTTTTGTTCGCGGCCCTTTAATGGAAACGAGAACGGATTGCTCCGTACTACCGTGTCTCACTGGATTATTACCCACCACTCAACCAAGTTTCGGTTCAGAAATGACGAAGTGGGTGAGAGTTGACACCTGCTGTCCCTATTGAGGAAGACATATCTGTCTGCAAATCGTGTGGCAGTGTGGCAGCTGTTAAGTTTTGGCATACGTAATGTAATTAAGGTCGAAGCTTTACTTACCCGTTTGCTGAAGCACAACAACTACGAACGTTGACAGTATTAAGCAAACTACTACGCGAATCCCAGGCGGCTACGACTAGGTGAACTGCCAACTATTTCCATAGACGATGAGTCAGTCGGTGGGTACTTAGCTTCGAGAAAATCATTTCTAATTAGTTTAGACGGTAGTTGTATTATAGTGTATTAAGTACCGAGAGACAGGAGGCTTCTGTCATAGATAAGTTGTAGACAGTGCGAAGATACTGAAACTGCTTCGAATATGTCGCAGCCGAGCTTCCTTATGTCTAAGGTGAGTCCGTGTACGATGCCGATGGCGAGTTCAACGAATTTGTAAGTAGTAAGAACATATTATGTCGTAGATAGGTTCTCATAATATCGCAAACGAGCTTACATATGTCCAGAGGAGTTTGAGTATGTCCCAGGCGACGTTATATGTCAGAGACGAGCTAGAATATGTCGCTAGGGAGTTTGTGTTGTGTAGGAATGTTGTAGACGAATGCGATGCTTATGCTTTATGCTTCATGTGACCTTGTATATTCCTAAGGCTAGCTCGAATATTTAATTGGCGAGTTAGAGCATATTATGTCGTAGATAGGTTCTCATAATATCGCAAACGAGCTTACATATGTTCAGAGGAGTTTGAGTATGTCCCAGGCGACGTTATATATGTCAGAAACGAGGTAGAATATGTTGCTAGGGAGGTTGTTTTGTGTAGGAATGTTGCAGACGAGTTCGATGCTTATGCTTTGTTTCATGTGACCTTGTATATTCCTAAGGCTAGCTCGAATATTTAATTGGCGAGTTAGAGCATATTATGTTGTAGATAGGTTCTCATAATATCGCAAAAGAGCTTACATATGTCCAGAGGAGTTTGAGTATGTCCCAGGCGACGTTATATATGTCAGAGACGAGCTAGAATATGTTGCTAGGGAGGTTGTTTTGTGTAGGAATGTTGCAGACGAGTTCGATGCTTATGCTTTATGTTTCATGTGACCTTGTATATTCCTAAGGCTAGCTCGAATATTTAATTGGCGATTTAGAGCATATTATGTTGTAGGTAGGTTCTCATAATATCGCAAACGAACTTGCGTATGTCCAAAGGGTCGTTTGAGTATGTCGCGGGCAGAGACGAGTTTGAATATGTCCCTAAGGAGGTTGTATAGTGTAGGAATGTCGTAAACGGGTTTGAACATATGGTTATGTTATGTCGCAGGTGAGTCCGAAAATGCTTCATGTGACCTTGTATATTCCTAAGGCTAGCTCGAATATTTAATTGGCGAGCTAGAACATATTATGTTGTAGGTAGGTTCTCACAATTTTGCATACGAGGCGTCTATTGTCAAACAGTTCCAATTGAATATGTCGCAGGAGAGAATATATACATGTTAGAGTCGAGCTCGAATATGTCACTCGCGAGATTGTTTACTGAATGTTGAAGGCGAGAAGGATTTTCTAGTGAATATGTCGCAACTGAGATTGAATATGCTTTGTGAGAGTTCGCATATTTTGAAAGAGAGCTCGGATATTTAGTTGGCGAGTCACAACATGGTATGTCGTGGCTGAGTTCGAATATGTCTTATGTGAGCTTGCATATGTTGAAGGCGTTATTGCTTGACGAAGTTAGATTAAAACTAACCACCATTACTTTATTTCGATATCATTTATCATTTATTCACTTCTCATAAA